GGGTACCCGAATACCCGTAATATTTTTTACGGGATGGGACATGGGATCAACATGTTCAACAATGGGTACCCGCGGGTTACCTGTTAATACCCAACGGGTATTAACGGGTACCCGTACTACCCGCTCCCCCTTATAATTGATATGGAGATCCCACAACGCAACATAGAAATTAAACAGAAAAGGAAGCAAACCAACAATTGTTCTCTTAGTACAGAAACAAACCAATTAAGAAAAAACCTGTAGCTCCAAACAATAATTAAGGTTAGGTACGTAATTGGTTGACAACAATTAACAATATCCACAATTCCACACACATCATTGCTTGCACCAGCAGGTTACGGTTCAGGTTTTTGTTTCCGGGAAAAGAAGTATCTAACTAAATCAGATTCTAGAGCGATCCGTAGTAAACTTGGACGAATCTTTCCTCGATGACATCAAATTCTTTGACGCTTAACTCGGTGGTGAGAATGGAGAGGCCGGACATGTTGGAATAGTCGAAGTGCAGAACCGAGAGAAGAGATCATCCTTCACGAAGTACCTCAACTTTCCCCTCACGAAAACCGCTTTACGACACCATCCCATGTGTCTGTAAACCTCAACTCAATGTTGGCAAATGACACGGCTCCTTCTACGGGTACCCGTGGGTACCCGTTATCCGTCCCGTACGGGTAATGGGTATCCGTTAACCCGTACGGGTTGGGATATGGGATGGGGTTTCCTCTCCAATTGGGAATGGGTACCCGTTTTAAACGGGACGGGTACCCAGTCCCGTCCCGTTGCCCACCCCTAATGATAGTTAACCTGATTCAAGGCTAATTATACATGTTTTCCCTTCACATCTTGAAATGTTTGGCTTGGTGATCATCGTTCTCCGGCCTATTCTACTCTAGGTTGTTCTTCTTTTGTCATATTTCAGGTCGTACTTTGTATGGAACGTTTTGGGACGTGTTTCGGGATATTTGGACGTCAATACGAGCTAAAAAGTGGAGTTTGTGCAATGTTCACGTGTTGAGGGTGATTTTCACGATCACGGGTAGTGAAAATTTCACCAAAACCGTGAACATTACATATTTCGAGTAGCTAGCATGCATCTCGCGGCCTTGTGCAAAGTTCACTACCTAAGGGTGAAAATATTACACAGAAACCGTGAAGTGTGCACTGTTGCGAGTATAAATTGACAGCAGTGGGCTTTGAGCAAAGGGAGCTGGGTTTTTTACCCCAAAAAAACAAGGGGCGATTCTAGATATAGAGTGACCTAGGAGGATTCTTGGAGCCCTTTTGGAGGTGCCAAACTCCATTGGAGTTTTAAGATCATCCCTAGAAGATAAAGATTGAAGACCTTGAAGCCTATTGTATTCTCTCTCTCTTCTTCTCTCTATGAACTAGCTTCCTTCACTTAGGTTGATGAGCCTTGGTTCTAGAATTTGGTTTGATTATTGGTGTATGTGACAAATCCTATGATTGACTACTGATCGCTTGCGTGATGGAGCTTTAAATTTATAAGTCGATTCACACTCTTTATTCAATCCTAACTAAGCCAAGCATAACATAGCTAAGGTTGTAGTAAAGTGACTCAGTCTTATTCCAAGGGAACCCTAAGCTTACTATTACTTCGCTCTGAAACTATCTAATCGAGTCAAAATTTTGGTGAAGAATCTAACCTAACCTACTCCTAAACAACCAACCAAGTGGTTGGGAGATCTCTAGAGCTGAGACGGTTGCCTAGGGTCAAATACTCCTAACTAGGGTTGTCATGTAGGGTTAAGAGAATATGGTGAGTGAGCTATTTTCTATGGGCCTTTGTGATTATCCACACGCATCCGAGTACACCCCACCTACCCCATTATCACCTCGGTATAAGCTCATGTATATGGGGCTTTAAGAACCTAGCTCCTTTCAATGAGTACTGACCACCGTCCACACCAAGGCTCCATCCCGAGTTCCGTCTAGGAAGGCTTTCTTGTGGCAGGAGTTCGGTCGCCTCGTCCACCACAAGACCCTATTCATTCATCTAACCCTAATTTGCCAAATGGCGCATACACGTCTAACCCTAAAACTCCATACCCAGCGTAAAAGCTCAAGTAGGCTAGTAGAGAAGATTACGGTGAATTACCCAAGCACAATTAAAGCTAGATGAAGCAGTAAAATCAACTAGACAAACACATTCATTCAAAACACATAAATACAGGAAAAAATTTCAAAATTCACTAGTTTTTTAAAAAATTATGAAAATACATAAGTTATAAAAAAATTTCTCAAAGTACACATGTTTCTCCATCACCGTTGTGGTCGAAGACAGTGAATACAATCACCGCCGAAAACCACAATGGTGAACGCATCACCACCTTGAAGAAAAATGGTGAATTAGTCACCGCTTAAATTGACAACGGTGAATCTATCACCGCGGTAAAGACCAACGGTGAATTAATCACCGCTTTAATGACACTTCCGACTTCCGAGAAGGATATAGTACTAGGCATCCAGGTCCTAAGTTATATAGTTTCTTTTTCTTTGCTTTTCTTTTATTTTAATTAAAATAATATTTAATTACTACTTTATTCTCGTTTTACTTTTCGTACTTTAAATATTATAGCTCAAGTAGTATTAGTACTTATATTATATCCATCGTATCTATAACTCTTATTCGTCTTCCTCTCTTTCTTATGCGCTTTATCGTTATGAAAAGCACCAGGAAGACAAAGACCTACACTTGTGTACCTTCGCCAACCCACAACCCAACCTATGGTCACCTTCACGATCTTCTGTTATGAAACTCTCACATTGAGGACAATGTGTTGCTCAAGTGTGGGGGATGTGTGTGAATGTTTGAATGATTATCATGATTGGTTGAACCATGAATTGCTAGTATCCTCCCTTGTTTATGAATGTAAGACGTTGATGAATGCCTATGAGAGTGTAAGCTTGCAAATGCATTTGTGTTGTGGTGATTAATGGTCAAATGATAGTGTTTTAGAATCTTGAGTGCATTACCCAAACAAATTTCAAATTTTTGGGTTCCAAATCACCTTTTTCCTTGCAACTTCCTACTCAATATGCTTTCATTTGATAGATAATTGATGTATTGTACTCACTAGGTGATAGTTGCATGATTAGAGTACCAGTGTATGAGGGATTTTACTATCTTCTTCTCTTTTATGAGTTAATAATGTTTGCTATTTTAGGAAGAACATGTGTGCAGATTCTCTTTTGTTTGTCTAGTGAACGCGAAGCTTTTACAAATTTGTGCGTATTAGAAAAGAAAGAAAAGAGAGAATAATCTTTTGAAAATGAGGTTCTCACGTGAGAGGCAACCAATTCTCACGGATTCGGAGTGCCCTTTAAGGATATGCTTGGGATCGGATAGCTTTACCGCGTCCCGACCATCTTTCGCTACTTACCATCCCCATGAATCTTTCCTCCTCACGGAATCATATGCGCAGGTACGAAGTACCTTTTAGGCAGAGTGCTAGAATGTGCTGGCGACATATTCACAGACACATCGGCAGCAGCTATCAGTTTGGCACTCCTCGCATTCATCGCCCTTGCTTTCTCTTCTGTCGTTTCTGAACACGGGCTTTTTCACTCAAATCTTACATTTAGAAGTCCTCTTTTTTTTCCATTCTGTCTCCTTCCTTCTCTTATTATTCTTTTAGGGGGGAGCGGATATGGTGACAAGCCCTAAGGGGTTGTGAGTTTAACAACCAATGACAAATTGGGTAGTCTACAAAAAGATCTTATTAATTACTTTCTTTTTTGTATTAATTATATTTTTTAAATTTAAAACCCACATTAAATACAATTCTTTATTTTGAAATTTAAATCCTACCACAAATACATTTCTATCTCTTCCTATCTCTCTCTCCTCCTTTTCCAAGAGTCACTTCACTCTGACTAGCTGACTTTCTCCGACCAACAGACTTTTTCCGGTGAAATTCTTCAATCGTACTCGCTCCAACCACCTACAAAAAAGTACCACTTCGTCAATATGCTAGTGGTAGTGTTTTTGTCTAGTAGTACGCTACCACTACTCTCTGGTAGTATACCACTATCACTAGTAGCGCTACCAATGGTACGAGTGCTAGTGGTACCACTACTAGTAATACGCTACCAGTGATAGTCGTACGTTACCACTACCACTGGTAGCGCTACCAGTGATATTGGTACGCTAGCAGTGCTAGTGGTACCACTACCACTAGTAACGCTACCACTAGAGACTAACACAAAGAACCAGAACTGGAATCTGGAAAATCACATATCTGGGGGGGGGAATCTGGGGATGAGGAAATGGAGAGGCGGTGACCTCGCGGCGGCGACGATGGTGGGACACGGATGGGCTGCGAGAGGGCTGCAATGATGACGTCGCGCTGGTGCGAGGTGGAGGTTGCGACGTGGCGGCGGACGGGCTGCGACAGTAGTGGGAGCCGGACAGGGATGGAGGGAGGAGGAGGGCGGCGGCAGCAGCGGCGGAGCTCGGCGACGACAATGTCATCTGCAGGAGAGATGGAGGAGGGATGGGATTAGGTGCTAACCCTTATAGGGGTTAGCACCGTGATAACTAGCAAAAACCGCTACTAAAAACAACGAAATCACTACGGATTATTATAAAATCAATACAACATCTAAGCTAAATCACTACTAATTCAAACTAGTAGTAGTTTTTCCCTTGGTTAGGACGGTGCTAACTATTGTACAATTAGCACCGTAACTCCTCCCGATGGAGGAGGGTGGGAGGGAAGAGTTAGGGTTTTTTCTATTTATATGGGAGGGTGAATGATTGGGTGTGATAAATTTTTTTCTCTTCCAAAAATATCCTTCTTTTAATATTAGTCGTCAATTTGAAAAGAAGAAGAAAAAAAAAAGAGACAGTAGAAAGCATATCCAATGGCTAGAAAATAAGTTGTGAATCTGACAATTCCTTAAAGAGTTGTCATGGTATCCGCTCTCATTCAAATATTCTACTGTGATAATACCATTTGTACACAAAGTACATCAAAATAAATGGTTCATTTCAAACTTCTCAACTTTGTATTGTTGCTAGAAACATGGGCAGGACAGAAAGATGAAAACTTTGTTCATTACTACATACTACTAACTGGGTAATTAAATTTTCTGTGTTAAAAGTTAAAACTAAAACAGAGGCCATTTCTGCATTCCCCATGAGTATGAGGCCTCTGTAAAAAAACAAATAAATGAACCAATGAAATCCCACTCTCTATCTGTATACAATATCTCCCTCTCCTATCATCTATAAAGCATGTCTGTTTTCTTTTTTCCTAAATCCTAATTGCTGCTGCAACCAAAACTGTAGGTCATTTTTGGCTTGGTGTCATTCAGCTTAGCAGTGAATCGAAGAAGGAATCCTCCTTGGGTTCTTCCTTAGCTTCAGGGATCCTGCTGTACTGGGATTGATGATTCATATACGAGGAACCTCCTCCTGCTGTAGTAGTTGCCGGCTTTCCAAGACCTGAGAACCCATAACTCCCTGAACCCTGCTGCAACATCTCCAGGGTGAATGGAGATTGATGTGGGTAGGTTCCGCTGCTGTTAGAATGATGACTGTTCATGACAGAGGGCCTAACGGGAATGGCTGCTGGAGTAGGGTTCGTTGCAGCTGTCGTTGGTCTGGTGGTGAGATAGCCGCTGCCTCTTGCAGCTGGAACATCATGGTTATGTTTCCCTTCGTAGGTTGTAATCACAGCCCGCAGGTCGTGTGATGCTCTCTCCACATGTTTCCTCACTGGACATCCCACGAACGTGCATTTGTAGTAGCTCCTGTGGAAGAGAAAATACCAAGTGTAACCCATAGGCCAGTCATTTGTACAGGATCAAGTGTGAAAGAGATTGAAAGATAATCCTCGTGTGAAAGACAAACCTGGGATTAGGGTTTCCTTTGACCACTTTCTGCCCATATTTCCTCCATCGATATCCATCATCAAGTATGTCTATATCGCTCGTTGTTTGAACCACAACCCTTGGCTCCCGAACGGTTCTGCTCCCACTACCACCAACCAGGCTCTCATTTTCGTTCTGCCCCTTCCTGCAAGCAACAGGGGGGAAATATCAGAAACGGTACTTCAGAAACTTTCCACCCAGTTGGTTCAAAGATTGACAAAAACAAAAAACAAAAAACTCACCATCGTTTGGCGTCCGGTTCATTGCCATCATCTTCATCGCCAGCTGAATTACTGAGCGGGGAGTTGTGTTCGAACTCATCTTCACCAACGGATAACGATGAGTCGTCGTGGTGCGTCCCAGAACCCATTTGGCTGACCGATTGATCGGGGCTGCCGGAGGGCTGAATGGAATGGTGAGATGATTGCCTAGTGGACTGAGGTTTGGGATGGTTATGGCTGCCTTTGTAAACAATTTCAGTGATCTGTCCGTCAAATGACCTCTCGACTTTCTTTTTGGTGGGGCAATTGAGAAAAGTGCATTTGTAGTAGCTTCTGGGGTTTTCGCTTCCTTTAACTTGCTTCTGGCCGTACTTCCTCCAGTTGTAACCGTCGTCTGATCTCCTGCTCTCCCTCATGTAGTGCGCCGTGGGGTTGTGGTTGATGTAGCTGGTTAGCTGCTGCTGCTGCTGCTGATTCTGATTCTGAAATGGTATCGTTTCGGGGGAGAAGCTCTGGATGGCGGGGAATTCGGATTTGATCTTATCCGCTGAACAGAGATCGGAAGCTTGGCTTGTGGCCGGTGTATTGTAACTCCAGGCGTCCTGCTGTGGTTGTTGCCTCGTGATTGAATCCTGTAATCAGAATTGAGAAACCCAAATCAGAAACAGACCCAACAGAAAGAATTGGGGGGAAAAGGCTGAAAACTGAAAATTCAAAACACACACCGTGGAGATAACATCGGAGGAAGACTGGAAGATGGAGGAGGATGAAGAGGAGGAATTAGGCCTGGTTTGGGGCTGGAAGGAGAAATCGTAATGGTTTTCCTCTTTCCCATTCACCTGCTGCTGCTGATTGTTCCCGGCTCCGGAGTAATCGATCTTCCAGTTGGAAGTAGTCTGGCCGGAAAAATCTCCGGTGGTCGGAGATGGAAGAAGCTGTTTCCCAGAAGAAACAAACATAACATCAGAAAACAAAGCCAAAAAAACGAGCCTGAGCGAACTGAGATACAGGGTGGGTGGGTGGGTGGGTTGGTTTATTCAATCCCAAAAAGGAAGGACGTTTTTCTTGTTGATGAATCAAGAAGAAAGAAGAACTTACATTAGTTGAAGAGAAGAGAACAGGGGAGTCGAGGAGGTCGGATGGGGTTAAACCAGGAGGGAAGGCGAAGTAAGAAGAAGGGGAGAACGGCAAGGAAGGAGGCGGGAAGGACTTGAATTTGGGGATTTCGATTCCTCCACCTGCGCTTCCACATGGGTTGTTAAGGTGGTGATCCGTTCCGTAGAGTCCCCAGCTGATTGTGTCCATTTGTCTGCTGCTGCTGCTGTTGTTATTGTTGCTGCCGGTGAGGAGGAGATTGGTGGAAGAAGAGGACGACATGAAAATGGGAGTTGAGGAGAAAAAGAGAAAGGCCGTCTTGTGGTTGATTTATAGCAGAATCCCAGTGAGACGGGGGCGTAATGGGTTTTTGAGGAGGAGAAGGCTTGGTTTAGGCTGGGTCCCTCTCTCTCTCTTTCTTCCTTTGCTTTGTATTCTCTCTCTCAGCTTCTTCTGAGAAACTAAAAGGGCAAGGGAAGAAGTTTGACCGTGGAAAATTTTGTCTGGGTCAAACGTAGTGGCTTTGACTGGTCTGAGGCTCGGCCCAGGCCCAAGCCCATTTATGACAGCGGCTATCTATTCTACTGTAACGTTCCATTTGTCTTTCTTCTGTTCTGTTGTATCCGACGAGCCCAACCCGCAACATACGCAGCTCTGTCTTACACAAAAGACGCAGCAAAGCAACACACTACCCAACATATTTGTACTTCCTCCTATTTCTTTCCATGGTACCTAGGGATGGCAATTTCGACCTGACCCGATTTACCCGACCAGTTTGGTTTGTTTTGGGGCGGGGCGGGTAACTAAATTACATGTAATCTTAGTCAAATTACTTATGATTTTCCTCTTATTACATCATGTTTTAGCTATAATAAAGTTGTAAATAAGTAAACACCTCAATTTCTTCAATAACTTAACTACATTTTATCATATAATGGTTTCTTTTTTGGTCTTTTAATGAAATAACTAATATTTCTAATATTTTTCGCATTAATTACATACCCATTGGGTCGACCTGCACCGACCCGCGCCCCATGATTAATTACCCAACCTGCCACAGAGCAAGTATGAGCATTGAGATACCCGCCCCAGACCTGCCCATTGTCATTCCTACTGGTACCGCAATTGCATAGAAATGTAAAGATGACCTTGGTAATTATTCATACATGTTGCCCTCCTACTAGCGGAACTAGAGGTGTCAATTGGGTTGGGTGGATTCAATCTTGGGTTATTTGGATTTCTGGTTCATTAGGTTGTAGGTTAGTTGCGTTCGGGGTTATCGAGTTGTGGGTCAATTATAGTACGGCTTGATCCGTTTATGGGACAGTCAGGTTGCATGTCAATTGAGTTACGGGTTAATCGGATTACGAGTCGGCGGGTTGTGAGCAAATCGGATTGCGGGTTGTTCTGGTCAGGACATTGTGTTATGTACTCTTTACAACTTACACTAATTTCAAACAATATTTTACAATTTGGGTTAATTCCACTACAAAATCTGAACTATGATAAAAATGTCACTTATCTCCCAATGTATTCAATATTCCGAAAATGTATCAACGTATGATAATTATGTGTCATTTATGTACGACGTTGACCATTGGTGGCGTGGCTGAAACATGGCGGACACGTAGATGCCATGTCGATAGCCACATCGGAAATTTAATAAAAAAATAAACCCTTCTCTTCTCTACTTCTTCAATCGCTCCTCGAATTCGTTAAGATGGCTCTGATTTCGCCCCAGCCTCCTTAGATGACGGCGAGATTACCCTAGCCCAGCTCCGACTTGGTTCTGCTCGATCAGTTTACAAGACTCAGGGCATGCTTCATGTTCCAATCGAAGGAGCAATGTGGAGAGGGAAATGTTGTGGGTTATGGAGAGCAAATTTGGGTCGAAGGAGAAGATGTTAACCCGGTTTGTGTATTCCTCAATGAAGCTATCGAAGGCGATTCGGTAGTGGTGGGTGGGTGAGAAGGACACGGCCTGTGAATATGGGGAATTGCAACTGGGGGAACTTTCCAATGTGAGGTTAGATTCTCGGCACAAGTTCTCCATTGTCGGGGAATTTCAATGGCGGTCGATACCAAGTTGAAGGTGGGAGCTCGGAGAAGAAGGATATGGAGCGGGGGAAGGAGGAGACTAGTGAATTTGACTTCGTCGCCATCGACAACTGCTGCAAGAGCAAGCTCTTCTTCATTGCCTGGAAATCGAGGAAGAAGGCCGAGCTGCTGAATTTGGGGGAATCGAAGCGAAAGGAGTCAGGAAGGAAAAATGAGTTCTATTTTTTTATTTTACTTATTTTTATATGAGTTGAAAATAAATAAAAATTGAAATTGAATATTCCATGAGATGCCACGTCGATTATAACTGTGTTTTCTGTTAAATGTAGACGATCAAAGTCAGTACACTAACGGAAAGATAGTTAATGACATAAACGAAATATTGAATACGTTGAGATATAACTTATAAGTGACATTTTTGTCATAGTTCGGGTTTTGTAGTGGTATTAACTCTTACAAATTAAAAAAAAATTATTTCTACCTCATATATATACTTATAAAAGTTCTTTTTGGTGGAAGCACTTATCAAAGTTTAAAAAAACTTGTCAAAGTGTTAAAATAATTTTGTATTCGTTTAAATGAGTGAGTTATTGCAATCGTACGAATTAACAGATCAACCTTACCCCTCATTTTGGAACCAAAATGCAACTCGAGCACAATTTAAATGAGACAAATCCTTACTTCAGCTGAGAGCTTGTGGTGAAAAAGATACTATTACTTTGCTATATTCTGTTAAGGGTTTGAGTTCCACTTGTAAGAACTCGTCTGGAAGTTAGAAATCGGAATAAGAAGAAAACTCTAGGAAACTAGTTCTCAAAGAGTGAGCCACCTTTGAACCTATACTTAAAGCCATAGAGCCGAACTCTATTAACAAAACATCTTGTGTTTTGTTCTCATCTCATTAAATTACTCTGCATATTGTTTATGTTTGCTCGTGCATTATTCTTGGTGGAACATATTTATCAATATGATCTTGGCGAGAATCAAATGAGTATTTGACACGTGGACTTGGTCAGTTTAAATTTGCACCCATCACCACTATTTCTCTCAACTTCAAAAGTTCAAAAACCTCGCTCCACTGCTAAAACATCAGCAATCCACCTCTGTGCAAACCAACCGCAGCAATCCGCCTCTGCGCAAACACAACTGCAGTGACCAGCCTCTGCGCAAATGAAATCATTACTATTTAGTCCCAACGACTCCTCGCCGTCGGCAACCATTCAATCCTTCCATTGCCACTCAAAACCGCATGTATACTTGTGGCTGCAATATGTTTCAACTCTTGTGGCATCTTTGATTAGGGTTTTTTTTTACTCTCTTCATCACCTTTGTGCCTAGACAAGTAGATCTACTATTCAACGCTCATAGTGTGGTTTCTGTACTTTCTGGTTAGCTTTAGTAGCGTTGTGGTGTGGTTTCACATATTTATGGTCTTCTCCAATAGGTTTTGGTATGGACAAAGAAACAATCTGATGCGTCTTCATGTCTACGGGCTGCGGCTCTTCGTAAATTAATGGCTACTTTAACTACATCACTCATTGTCGATCCCTTTTCATGTAGTGTCTGTATTGTTTGGGAATCGGTACATGAGTGTGGGCGTTATAAGAACTTTCTACAAACTAGTTCGATTTAGTTGCATCAAATCTAACGTGCATCTTAGCTTCGTGGAAGAATCTTGTTTCTCCTTTCGGCTCCCTCTTTCGTTCGTTCGTTCGTTGGCTCGCGCTATGTTCCATGAGTAGGACATACAAACCGATACCATATTATCATTTTGTTCTTATTTCGACCCATTTTTCCTGCTTACGTCAAAGCGAGTGGTAAGCTCATAGTTCCTCGAAAAGTCAAACCACATAGTTCCTCCAAAAGTCAAACGGCTTTATATGTATCTCAAATCTTGACTTCAGAATATCTTTTTATTGTAGCAGTAAGGGATCTTCCAGATTATGGTGCTCAAGATTCAAAATTTTCTTGTCGTTTAGAAGAGTTAGATTCATCCACACGAGGAGTATCTTCATGGTTCTCACCTAATTTAGTGTCCTCCATTATGTTTTCTCTGTTGTTGATTATTGGCCAAAAAAACCTAGCTGCTCACGCTAGCTTCGGCATATTTAAGTAGAAAATTTCCCTCATTGTCTATATTTCTACGCTAAAACCAAAAGGATATGATGGACCACAAGGAAGGCCTTGTTACTTATTGTTATTTATTTCACACAATGAGATGTCAAATTTACGCCAGGGAGCGGAGCCCAAACCATAAGTGAGTCAATACAAAATAATCCAAATGGCGCTGAGTTGCCTTAGCCAGTTTGCTTAAAATGGAAGCATAGACATCCTGTACTTGCCAACGCATTATCCAATCTCCATTTCCTTGAAATATCATCCAGTTTGTAATCAAATCAAACTCCCAATCCATTTAGACTGCACAACAACAGCAGCAACAACACCAAGCGAAAAGATCGACGAGACGTTGAAACTCCTTACTGCATAGTTACCGCAGCCAACGTATCATCCTTTAGTTACAGTATCGTGTACATTTTCAAGGTCTGAGCTCTATACGCCCAAAACAAAACATCCCAAACCATGACTGTGGTTTAAGCATCAACTTAAAGACTAAATACAGAAGGTAACTAAATTTTCCCGGAAATTTATGATACTACACAAAAAAAAAAAAAAAAAAAAAAACTTTCTATGGCAACGCTATTTACACTGTCAAGATATATTTGATACAATTGTATATGGCATTACTATTTGATTGGTTGGAGCGCTTGCACGCTGATCCGCAGTCGTCTTTCTATAAAGAATGCTTTGCCTGGAGAACCAACCTCGCCAAAATGAATACAGCTAAACTAGAGGGCAAACCAGAACTCATGCCGAGTCATTACAACGAACAAGATATTTACTACCACAGAAACAATCACCATGGTATGGTAACTTGTTGAGCAACTTAAGCTCAAGAATCGCTCCAACTATCATCATCATCATCTTCATCGCTCCCAGCCAATGCCTATTATCACCAAATCACCCCTCATTAACGTGCGCATTGCAAATATAATTTCACTCAAAAGTTACTAGTATAAAACATTTTGTAACTAACAAATAAACCCGACATGTTCTGGATAGAGTATAAACTCGAGAATCTGAGGAGAGAGAGAGAGAGAGGACCTGGCGGATTGCATTTGCTTTCTCCAAGATGGCGGCAACTCTCAAGTTGGTTTTAGGACCATGAATACCAGGCATGCTAGGACGCATACTAGGCCTACTCACTGCTGCGGGCTTCAAATTGAACGACTGGAGATTGACCAAAATAAGAGAGAACCCAATTCAGCACACAATAACAGGAACAAGATCCCCGCAAGGTATAAAGGGTAAGGAAACTTACCTTTGTCCGGATCTGTTCTAGTAGCGAATCCCTTTCTTCTGCGTTTGAGCTAGCCTGTGGCTGAACCCTTTCAGCTGCCTTTCTCAACTGCAGAATTTTCCCAAATATAAGAAAAGGCAGGGACTACGCAGTGTACACAATCATAGGCATCACATAGGAAAGCATACAGCATTTGCCAAAACTCAGGTCCGGAGCTGAAAATTTTTACCTTGCTTTTATCTACTGCAGCAACAGCATCAATAAGAGGATTCCTAGGGCGAGGTAGCTTGTTGCCGTTTGCTGCCTTTCCAAGTTCATAGGATGGTGGCAGGGCTAATGTTGTCGGAGGCCACGATGTTCCTCCTCCATAAGATGCAACCACCTTTTGCTGTTGTTGCTCCTTTGCCAAAGATCCTGGTGGTAAAGATTCCTCAGGAGCCTTCTCCTGAAAGGAGGGCACAAGCTCAGCTTCTGAAGATGCATTGGACATGGATGTTGCAGATGGGAAGGACTCTGAACTAGATTGCTCTGGGTCTCCTGATGGAAAATCAATGAGTTCAGGCCTCTCATTTGGTATTTCTTCCGAGGTAACAAATGGGTTTAGAGGATCCAATTCTTCCAATGGGTGTGATTCCTGTTTCAGATTTGCAGCATTAGCAACTGATTGCAATTCAACTGGTAAGGTATTTGGCTGCTTCAAGGTATCCTCTACTGAGTCATCCATAGGTAAACAGGGAACTTTTTGACTATCCTCGATAATGTTACTTGGGAATGTGTGTGAAGGCTGATGTGAATCTTGTTCGATATTTGCAGCATTAGCTAGTGATGCCAATTCAAATGATGTGTGATTCTGCTGCTCCGCGGAATTCCCTATTGAATCATCCACAGATAAGCATTGAACCATCTGACAATCTTCAATAATGTTAGTTGGGAATGGGTGATAAGGCTTGGTGTGCTCGTCAGCAGAAAATGGTTGCATTGGTAGATTATTACAGTGGCCAAAACATGCAGTCTGCAAAGAAGGTGAAGCAGGTTGAAAGTTTCCCATTCTCCATTGCATAGGAGGTAAAGGTGGCAACGGTGGAGCCTCATCTACATTCACGTCTTTTGCAGTGGAGAGTGTGCCCAGTCCAGGAGGCAAAGTTTGCATGTCTTTGAACTGAAGATTTGATGATGTAAAGCCTCCTGCCTCATCTGGTTCTGGACAACTCTCATCAGTTTGATCAGGATGCAAATCCCATGCCCGCTCAGAAGTTATTCCCGACTCTGCTAAATAGGAGGGATCTGAAGTTGATTCCATATCATGGGCAGAATACTCTTCAGACTCAAAAGTTACTTCATTGACATGAACTGCTGACATTTCTAGTGTTCCTGCTATGGGGAATAAACCATCACCTTCAGATGCCTCTTTTGAACTAAAGACAGGTTGCGGTTCCAGCACACTGTGATCGGCATCGACTCCTGAAACTTGTTCTCCACTGGCATCAACGCCACCAACACTCACTGGTAAAACAGGGTAACCGAAGATGGATTCACCGTGACTGAATTCTCTATCTTTTGGAATGACTTCATTTTGTGCCTCAGGTTCAGTTTCTGAGGAAATTTTCTGGTGAAGGTCCACTGCTGTCTGATGTTGGTCATCTAATGATGGATGGCTAGATGGAGATCCAATCACTTTGGATGACGGACAAATAGTATCATATCCATGCTCATCACTAGCAGGTGGGATAGATACAGGTGTAACCACGTCCTTCAGTTGATCAGCCTCGGTTATAGTGTTGTGCTTGTCAGTCAGATCCCGTAGACCAGATTCATCAAAACACTCATAAGAATCTTCTGCAACAATGCCATATGCATTAGCTTCACTTAACATTTCCTCCTTGCCTGAAACAACAGAAATATCTTCTTCTAGTTTTTTCGTCTCCGGCTCAGAATTCAATTGGCCTGATTGAGCGAACTGAGATCCAGATAGTAAGGTGGCTTTTAGGAGTGCACCATTGACATCATTGACATTTGTTGCTTCTTCAACCATGTTATCATGTTCAGATGGCAACTGATGAGGGATCACAATTCCAGCATCACCCGAGTAATTTGTTTCTGACACGTCATGTAAGGGATCATCATGGCTGCTCTGCACAGAATCTAGATATGACAAATATAAAGGCAAAGCTTTAGGATCTTCCTGCTGCTGGTCACTCATGGAGTTATACTCAGAAGAACCTTTCGAAGGAGCAACCACCTGCTTTGTATGCCATGGTATTTCAGATGAACCCACAGAAGAACTATCTAGATTTACGTTGGTCTCAAGATCAGGTTCTAATCGAGGAGTAGTAACTCCATCTACTTGTGTTCTTTTACCTGAATCTTCTCCTGCTAAAGACACCGTGAAAGGATTTGCAACAGAAATAGTTGGCACTAGCTTGGTGATTTTCTCTTCTTCGGAAAAGATATCAATCGAGACCTCAAGCTCGTGGGATTCTTGGATTGTGCAAGCCACCATACGAGTAGATGAACAGTCTGACTGCAACGTGGAAGTCTCCGGGATACTATCTTCCCGAGAACAGCAAACTTTTGATGGCCCTTCCCCATCAGATTGCACATTGTCAGCCGCATGGCTCTGAGAGTCGGATACTGAAATACTAGACCCTACTTTGTATATTGAACTGTTTCCATCGTCAGACGTTGAGGAGTTACCAAACGACTGAGAATTCAGAAACTTCACTTGAATGTCATGCCGTCTTTCCTGATTGATATCCGATTCTGCCTCACGTCTCACAAATTTCAAGACGCCACCTTTCTTAAATTTGTATTCAGTATCGGTCTCTATTTCTGACTCCATGGTTGTGAGAGCATCCATGTAGTTTTCCACCTCACTGATCATGTCGTCAAATTGATCTCCTTCTGAACTCTCACTTTTCCCACCGCCTGCATAAATAGCTAATTCCTGTCCAATTGGCATCTTGTGAACAGAAGAAGGAGATGATTCATCGGTTTCACAATCAGTGACGGTATCAGAGACCTTCACCAACCATTTATCAGGATCGTCCCCATTGAACTCATCATGTTGTAGTACATCAACCTGTGGCTTCACAGGACTAACAGCGGTAATCTCAACAATCTCAAGTCCTGATTCTTTGTAGCCATACTGAGATAAAGTCGAGAGTGGTGGATTAACAGAATCTTCATACACTGCTTTATTATCTGGTGATAGAGTCTCCAGGAATTTCTCCATGTAGCTTTTCCCCGATTTCATATCAAATGGAGATCCATTTAACTGCCTTCTTTTCAATTTTACTACACGAGCTGGATCAGAATGGCCATTTGCAACACGCTCTTCCAGGAACAGCTGATGCAATCTGCAGTAATTTGCAAGATTGTTAAATCACAGAACAAGCAAGGTATGCACATATACAAGCAGTGAAATTAGATAATCAAGTCCCACTTGGCATGTGATGCTGGTGTAACTTCTGGAGTTTCTCCATTCCTCCACCGTCCTTTCTTCTGCAAGACAAAGAACCAGATTAATAAAATATGAAGCATCATTCAGATCCAGGATTACATAACACCAGGGTCGCCCAAAAGATAAAATCCTTAAAGTGTACTGAAGAAAATGAGGACCCTAATGATCCTCATACCTTCAGTTTTCGAGCTTTCTTCTCTCTTTGCATTTCCATTGTAGTAGATGATGTTGCTTCAATTCTAAAGATTGAGGGATCAGTGTAACGCTTCAAACATGCGCCTGCCCCTGCAACATCAAATCTGCAGCCACCCCAGCCAGACAATACATCAGAACTCCCCACAAATTAATTCAACTGTAGGCTCCCCATGAACGTTTACACAGCAAGGAAATTTCAGAAACTATACTTGTCCAATAAAAATAGCCTTGGAGGACCCCGGCATTCTTCATAAGAGTCCATTACAAAGCGAGGCAAGTCTCCCTGAGTTATCAGATTCTGTTCCATGTGCAGATTAGGACGCCAATCGACACCTGCTGCTAAATGGGTAATGGCAAAGGTTACAGCCTTTCCCAAACAGAGATCAAAAGGAAACTCTATGACAGCTACGGGTAAACACTACCAACTCCGGAAAAGTTCTATGAGAGTTGATAACTAGGAAAGAGCTAGAGCCTAATTCTTGGAAAGTCAGCAGATAGATATATAGCTAACCTCCGTTTGCATAGAACGATGAGTGGTCAGTTAGAGACAGAAATGCCTTCTCAACTGAAGGAACTTCGGCCTCCAGTTGTTGAACACGAGCCATTAGACTGTGGCCTCTTGCCGCAGTTGTCATTACTTCTTCATGCAAGTTGTGAAATATCTCAGCTGCAAACCTTCATACACATCCAACAAACCCAAATATTAACACCACCACGGAGAGATAAGCACAAATTAAACGAGCCAAGAACTACAACTTTGAATGTGAGGGGAATCAATTGAACTCCACCGGCAAATTGAAACCTCGAATGTATCAAATCAGCCATCCAAAAGTGAAAAAAATTAATTCAAGCTTCCGTCAGCAGAAAATAGTACTGGAAATCAGCCACAATTGAAGTGGCATTGACCAAAATGACCTCAACTACAAGCTCGAACAACCGAATCTGTAAGTGAGAATGCAAGAAAAATCCACCAACGGAAGAGAAGAGAGGAGAGGACTAACTCAGCAAGGTCACCGAGCTGGCGCAATACACCGACGAGGCCAGCCATGGCAACGCCCTCCAAAAGAGCCTCGGGATCATCTCTATCGGCAGCTCTGTACAGCTCTGGATCGGCCAAGCCGTACTCGTTCCTTATTTGGTACCTCGTCAACGGCATTCTTTAGCAACCGCCACCTTGCTCTGCTGCTCCGCGAACTGGAGAAAGAAGCAACAAAACCCTAGCTTTCGACGCAGTAACCCGTAATGCTAGTATGCTACTACGATTTCCTTCCCGCCGGCGCGACGCTTGAAGAGGAACGCGCAGACAGAGGGAAGGAAAGGAGTGGGGAAGGAGAGGGGTTATTTTGTTTACTTTCTTTTTCCTTTTTTTTTTCTCCTCTCTCTCTCTCTCTCTGGAAGTCAAATGAATGAATATGTACAGACGGACACGGAAGACGTGGAGAGAGTGACACAAGCAATTAAGACAATTTTCTTTACAAAACTAGTACCAAGTCCGGTTAGGGATGGCAATGGGGCGGGTTTGGGGCGGGTTTGCTTAAACCATCCCCATACCCATCTTGAAATACCCAAACTCATACCCGCCCCATACCCATGCGGGGAATGTTTTGCAAACCCATCACCATACCCGTGGGTTTCGGGTATCCATGGGTAATACCCGTACCCGTACATCCAACATTATTGTACCTAAAACTTACAAGAAAAGTTCTAATTATAACTCTAAACGAACATATTATATCATGAAGTCAATAAAATACGGTCATTTTTTTAATATGGTTCAAAGATTATGATCCTAAAATATACATTAATACATAATATAGAGTATAATATTTTTCAAATTATTAGATTCTAACTCTGATACATCTACTAAATAATAATTAACTAACATAATCTTGTTGACAAGGGGGAAAGTGAAAGAGTGAAATGAGAATTGAGAGAAATGAATTAGATTTTGATTAAGGTGGTCACTCAATTGCATTTCTACTATTTATTTTCTCAAGTTATCCTCATCATCATTGATATATTATAATTTGATGCACATATTTCTTTTATATATTAAGAAATTATCTTGGTGGGGCGGGTATGGGGATGGGTATGGGGCGGGGGAGGCTAAAACCATACCCGCCCCATACCCATCAAACTTTTTGCGGGTTTTACCCATACCCGCCCCATATCCGGTCAAAGCGGGGATTCCCCGCGTTGACTGGGTCGGGGGCGGTCGGATACCCGCGGCCATGGGTTTGATTGCCATCCCTAAGTCCGGTCCATTGGCCAGGAGAATTTGGTAATTATGTATATTGCATGTATTGTTGATTCATATAATGTATATTTTCTTCAATATTTTACTACAATCAAGTCGTACAATTATCCAAAATAAGAATAAAAATGACAAATGTAATCTATAAGATATATGATGGAGATTCATGACTCAACTTTCTTCCATTTCAAATTTTCTGCAACGAGAGTGAAAGTAGGAAGGGTACTTTCGTCATTGCAATTGTTTATTTTTTATTTGAAAAAATATATCAGTGTCAAGATTTGAACCCGAGTCTCTTCTAACAAGGACAAGAGTCATAACCAATAAGACTAAACAAATTTGTTGCATTTATTTATAAAAAGAACATAGAAGAGGCAAAATTCTGAAAATCAAATGACTTTTCCAGCACAATTAGCTACCCCACTAAGTCTTTCTTAAGCATTTTTAGTGTTGGATCTTTGATTATCAATTTTTATTATTATTTTATTTTGACTTCAATAATAATGGTAGTCTATCTTATAAATGGAGCATAATCTTAAAACCGCAATCCAAACATCATTTATTCGAATATTGCATATCAAATTACAATATTAAATATATATGTGCACACACAACCACATATATATGGGTCAGATTGGTGTACTCCTGGAGTATACTATACTTCAGGTACTCTTCTTGAGATATCTCTATCTAGACCATGATTTTTAATCGAGTTTGGGGTATGATACTCTACCCTAACCTCTAATGGATAAACCTCAGGCCCCGATTCTCTAAACTCAAACCCAAAGTTCAATTTAATGGAAAATTATAATTGACCATTGAGATTGATTGGAGCTCAACAAAGTAAATCTAATGTCTAGATCATGTGGAGTATACTATACTCCTGGAGTATACCAGTACGTGTGTGTAGTATTTTCTATCATATTTTAAGTAAAATCAAAAGGTAACTCATACCCTTGGTAAGAAATGGCAATCTAGACTTTGAATTAACCTTATTTCGAGACGAGACACTATATTCTAACCCTTGACGAGTGAACTCTAGGTCTTAACTATTTAAATCATAGACCCTAAACCAGGGATTATAAAACCTCATCAGAGGTTGTACCGAAAAAGTCGGCAGGAGGGTATTTTATGCGAAAACTGTGGTTAACCATGATTCAGTCGTTTCACAACACTACATAGTGCCTACCGGTTTAGTCGAACCCCCGGTACGTTAAGGGTTTTCAATCCTTGCCCTAAACACTAAGATTATGCACATAATTTTTTGGATGTATTTTGATGAAACACGACCTTCGATTATTGTTTCTAATAAAATGGATCTTAGTATATGAGCTTCATAGAATTAAGACCTAGATTTTAATCTGTAAGGGCTTAAGGTATAGTACCATGTCCCTAGCTCCGGCCACTAGACATCATTTTCATACTCAGATTAAATCATTCAAGGTCTATATATAATTTCCTTATGTCATTTTCTTACTCAAAATATGATAGAACCACCCATACTTATAGTTGTGTTATCCTGCCGGAAAGTCATTTGTTCTAAATGTTAGTTGGTTGGACTGCAGTTTTATCAGGGTTGTATGTTGTTTGAAACATTTTGAACTTCATTAGTCAAATATTTTTAGTACTCCTATATTATTTAGGGATAATATCCTATTTTGTGCTGAACTTTGACGTAAATAACAATTTTGGCATGAACATTCAAATAAGATAGTTTTGTCCGAATTTGAAAGAAATTAACAAATTTGACCCGAAATTTGGGTCGGTTATTAATATTGAGGGTCAAACATTTCTTTTTTCTATGACTCAACATACAATGTTAAGGTGACTGTGGTGTGACTTTCACGTCATAGGTATAATATGCTATTTTGCCCTACACTTTCAAATAAGACAGTTTTGTACGAATTTTCAAAGAAATGGATAACTTTGACCCAAAATTTAGGTTGCCGTTAATATTGATGGGAAGGGTACAAAGAGAGATAGTTTCGTGCTTTAGGATTTTTGGGGGCCTGAATCAATTTCTTTTTCCTTTTAATACGATTTATGCAAGTAAATATGAAAATATTAGGATATATTAAGGGTCCTATTTTGTGGTCTTTTTTTCTTCTGAAAAATTCACTTTTTTAGACTTTATAAATAAATGACTTGGAAGCCACATCGCAACCGAAACCTCTCTATCACAACCGTCAATATTAAAGGTCAATCCAAATTTTGGACCAAATTTGTTCATTTCTTTCATAGTGCAAACAAACCTATCTTATTTGAAAATTCGAGCCAAAATTGCCTTTTAGATCAAGTTCATGCCAAAATAAGGTATTATCCCTATGACATGGAAGCCACATCGCAATCGCAACCACCTGAGCATTGTATGTTGAATGGATGAAGAAATGTTTAACTTTTAATATTAACGAACAACATAAATTTCAGTTCAAATTTGTCCATTTCTTTCAAAATTTGGAAAAACTGTCTTATTTGCAAGTTCATGTCAAGTTTGGCTTTTACGACAAACTTCAAGGCCAAAATAAGGTATATCCCTATTATTTATGGTCAACTTACCAATCAAAGTAGTCAGTGAAAGTATCAGCAACACTAACAAAGACAAACATATATAATTCAAAATTAGTTGCACTCAGCCTTAAGTTTGAAGCTCTCTTGAGAACCCCGACTATTTTCTAGGCATCTTCGAGGACTACGGACTAGCATGCTTCCAAACCAACTGATCCTTATTCTACTTTCTATGAAGAGGAATAATATGGGTGTATCTGTTAGACATTAATTAGGGTTACAAATGATCTCATTCCTAAAATCTGTTACAAATGATCTCATTCCTGAGGGTTCATTATGTATGTTTTAGGAAAACCAACTCTAATATTGAACTATTTGCCATTTTTAAGTATTGAAAACCCATTATTTGTATGTTTTTCTTTTCTTCTTTGAACAATTATATTTCTTTTTTCAGTGATATGTCGTATCTTCTTATTATATTGTAAGCATGTTATATGAACATATTTTTTGTCTAGACTTTCCCGGCCAAGGGGCCGGGCCCGGTGCTAGTATGTATAACAATGAAAATACAAATAATAGTCTGACACAATGTATATGTTTTATGATGTTTAGTATGTCTTTCAAGTTTTTCCAATATATATCATCCTTGTTGACCACAACACGGATTGTGGACCAGAAATTGCAGGATTTGAAAGGTATAGTGCATGATGTAGAGTGATCATAAAATAATATGTTGGACAATGTATTGTCTTACATTTAGTGCCCAAATGGCGATCATATCACAAATATGACCAACAATAATGTAGTATTCCCCTGCATGCATCAATGTAGTAAGTATTAAAGAGGTAGATTCAACAAATGTAAATGATTAGTACATTTACAAATATGCTAATTTTCAAATCTCTTACCAGTTGCAATCTAGATAGTGAAATGTAGTTAGAAGCTTTTAAAGTCTAAAAGTCATATTTTTTCGATTAAGACCCCCCAAATATTGTAACTTTTGTTCAAAAAATATTTTGCATTAAAATTTCAAGTAAAAGTCATCAAACCTAATCGTGGAAGTCTAAAAGCTAGCTTTTCAATCACTTTTTAAACTTTTGATCGGGTATTAACACACTATAGGGTGTGCAATGGTTCGATTGGACTGGACCAGATCAAACCTTGAGCATCGCTGTCCAAAAGTATGAAGAGAAAAAAAAAGAAATTCAGTACCAAGGATCGAACCAACATTGCAATTGGTCAAGTGTGATCTGGTTAGGTCCGGTCCAAATACCAATCAACCCCATTTCCCTTCAGTATTTCTAAAATTCACACGATCATGGACAGGTTCGGACTGCAATATATTTGGATGATTTGGCTTGGTTTCGATGTCGATTTGGTTCAATTTGGTATGCTCTTGAACAAACCATGAGCACACTACCATATCGGTTCAGGTTTTGTTTTGTTTTGTTGGCCATTAGAGAAAAAATGACACAGTTTTATTTGTTTTCTTAGTCAAAATATCTATTTAGTCTTTCGTTTTATGAATTTCTCGTCTCTAATTCATTGTTACTACTCCTCCATTCTCGTCTTTTCATTGCCTCCAGCGTCCTTTCCCATCCCTGCAACTCTCACCCTTGTGACCACAATGTCGTCGAAGCTCGTCTCCTTCATC